AGACATATGTGTTGATTGGGGACTTGGGTTCCTGCCTCTCCTGTGATGCTTCTCCTTCCCCTATGATTCTTCTTTCCAATTCAATTCTCTGCCAGCTGATGATCTCCTTAAGGGGTCACCATAATGACCACTGCTCAGCTCTTACTTCATTTAATCATTTCTATGCCTGGAGGGCATAGCATGCTCTTAATTGTACTTTTCTCTCCCCACCTAACAGTTAGCACAGATCTTTGGATATCTTAGACGTTTCATAAATGTGGAAATGAAAAAGAGCACTAAACTGGGATTTAGCTGTATCATATCTCGGGTGACGATGGAAGTCAAGGGTTGAAGGATCATCCAGAAAAATGCGAGGAGTCTAGGTAGTAGGAGATGGGATAAATTGAGAAGGTGAAAAGTGGGAAGAAAGAAATGACTGCAGGGGTTCAAGGATGGAGGACTTGGCATACATAGAGGCACGGGGAGTGAACCTTTGGGCAGTGTGGTCATGGGGCAGTGCTTGGGCAGCTTGGTACGGTCAGGGAGCTTCTTCTCAAGTGGGCTGAAGTGAGTCTTTTGGAGATTCCTTGACTTTCTTCTTTTTCTCCCCCTCCATACCCAATTCTTCAGAAAATTCCATTGAATCTACATTCAAAACACTTCTAGACTCTATTCACAACTTCTCACTACATCTCTACCACTCTAGTCCAACCCACTGCCATCTCTTACCTACACAACTAGAAAAGCCTCCTATTCAGTGTCCTTCCTCCACAATCTATTCCTCCCCAGCAGCCACAGCCATCCCAATTGCTTGCCTGGCCTATAAGATCCTATTGGATTTGACATTTGGTGACCTCTTGGATCACATTCCTCTCTCACCTTCCCTCATATGCTATTTCAGACAGACTAACATGCTTTTTATTCTCTGAGCATGTTAAGGGTCTTTGGGCTTGCTGTTCCCTAAGCCTGTAATGCTCTTACTCCAGAAATCTCCAAAGCTCATGCACTACTTTTAATCAGGTCTCTGGTCACTCCACCTGGAACAGAATCCCTACAAGCACCACCACCACCACCACATGCACACAATCTATTCCCTTAGCTCACTTACTTTTCTACAGAACACGTGTCATTGTTACGCTATATATTTGTTTCATTGTCTGTGTTTCCCACTAGAATGTATGTTCCACAAGAGAGCAGAAACTTTTCTTGGCACACAGTAGATGCTCAATAAAAAAAAAAAATAATGAGTCTAGCGGATAGGGAGAAGTAAAAGATGCCAGAGTCAGCGTTATCCTGGGGGGAAAGATGTAATATTTAAGGCACGAGCTTTTTCAATGTAATAATTTGAATATGTGCTGAATATTTAATATAATTCAATTCAATGAAAGTATTTAACATGCAACTACTACTGTATTTTCAGCATATAATGCACCTACACAAATAACATGCCCATGCATATGAAACATAACATGCACAGGAGACTAATGTGCAAGAGGGATGCATGATCTGCAGAAGGAAAAAAAAAATAATGTGTGCATTATTTGCGTAAAAATATGGTATATGAAGGCCACCATACCAAGAGCTGTTTGGGATAAAAATGGGATAAATGATAATTAAAGCACAAACCCTATCCTCAAGGAACTTACAGCCTAATGAGTGGGCTAAAGATAAATAACACTCCTTAGTTACCTTTGCATTCCCCAAGCATGTGCTTCATGGTTCTGTACACTGGAAGGTATTAATATATATATATATTTAATAAGTGAATTACCAGTATATTCCTTCACTAAGTTCTTTCACTGTCATATTGTCCAATAGGTTGGAAAACATCTCACAAACCCATAGATCCTCTCTGAGTTCTGAACCCAAACCCTCCAACTGCATTTTGGGTATCTTCACTTGGATGTCTCATGGGTGGCTCAACTCCTCCAAACTTACCCACCATATCCGGATCTCAGTTGTTGAGGTTGAAACCGGTTTTTCTGCCCCATTCCTCACTTTCATCCCCACATTCCATGGATACTACCTCCAGACATCAAGACCTGCTCTCCCTCCCTGTTACTACTTCTGTGGGCCTGGCCACCACCATCATTTCTCCTCTGGAGTTTCAACAACACCCTCCAGCCTCTTATAGAACTTTCCTCCCACCCATCCTCCACAGCTAGGCCAGAGTGGTCTCCCTAAAATGTACATCTGATAACCATATTCCCTTATGCAAAACTGTCAGGGCTACAGTCCAAACCCCTTGACACACTACATGAAGCTAGCTAGGTTCTAGCACCTGCTTTCTTCTCTGGGCTCATTTCTTGCCACTTCTTTCTTACAGTCTAGTTTTGGCTCAACAGAGATTTCTGGTCCTCCAACTGGGCCAGTCTTTCTTTCCCCTTTGGGCCTTTGACTGCTTCTTCTGCTTTGAATTCTGCTTAGTATTCATTTCACTGAGAAGCCTACCCTGCCTGGACCTGACCTGATTGTGACCTCTTCACCCTTTTGTGCCCACCACCCACCCCTGTAACACAGGGTTATAAGCTATGCATGTGCTTCCTCTACCCTCTGTACTTTTCCTCTCCTGCCTGTTTTATTGTTTCTCTCCACTAGATTGCAAGTTCTGTGAGGCCAGAACTATCTCATTCTGTCTTTGCCCCCCTTGTATCCTGAGAACCTGGTAGGTTGTCTACCCAGCACATTACATGTTCCATAATATTGAATAAATTAAAATGAACCCTGGTGGCATAGTGCCTAAGGCATTTGACTGCTAACCAGAAGGCTGGAGGTTCAAACCGACCAGCCACTTCTCAGAAGGAAGGTTGGGCAATCTACTTCTGTAGAGATACCACCTTGGAAACCCAAGGAGGGGTAGCTATGAGTTGGATCCAATTCTATGGCAGTGTTTTTCAGTGGTTAAGTGTTTGGTTGCTAAGCAAAAGGTCGGAGGTTTGAATCCACCAGCTCAGGTCGGTGGGAAATAGGTGTGGCAGTCGGCTTGCCTAAAGATTACACCCTTTGAAACCCTATGGGACGGTTCCACTCTGTCCAATAGGGTTGCTGTAAGTCAGAATTTGACAGCAATTGTTAGCTTGTATAGGATGGGTCCTCAAAATAATAATAGCCTACACGCACTGAGTGCTTACGATGTGTCTGTCAGACACCATTCTGAATGTTTTACAAGTATGTCACAGACATCTCACACAACCCTATCAAGTAGGGGACGATTTCCCAATTTAACACATGTAGAAACTGATGCATGGAGAGGTTAAGTAATGCAGCCAAGGTCCACGGCTAGTAATTGAGAGAATGGACGTTACAACCTAGGCTGTTTCTAGAGGCCATACTCACAACTTCTAGTGAATTCTATCCTAGAGTGATGTGCAATATGGAGTTCATTGCATGAATAGATTCGTCTTCCGCAAAGGGCTTTGTGTGTGTGTTTCCTGAGATAGGACGCACAGGTATGCTGCCCTCTTCCACGCCGGAAAATGGGGGTTGGGGTCCTGTGCAGAGCTTTGGAAAGGGCCTATGTATCTCTCTACAGCCCCCGAGTATGAGGCCCCCTGATCAACTTTCAGGGCTGCCCAGCACACACGCCAGCTTTGTCCAGTTCCTCGGATCCTCCTTACCATGGGCAGGTGCGGAGCGCGAACAGCGGCTGTCCAGCCTGCCCCCACCAGGGCCCCGCCAGACCCGCGGTCACCGACGGCGGTGGGAAGGGGCGGGCGGGGCCAAGGGCGGGGCTGTTCGTTCCGACCGCCGCCCTCGCTCGGCGCTGGGCTCGCCCGGGTGCAGCGGGCCGGGCTAGAGCTGGAGGGGGCGGGGACTCGGGAGGGGCCGGAGCGCGGCTGCTAGTGCTGTTGCTGGAGCAGAGGGAGGAAGCGGCGCGTCCCCAGAGGCGTGCGCCCGGACCGACGGACGGACGCAGGGACGCGGGGAGAGAGGGGGCCCGAGGCGAGGTCAGTGTCTGGTGAGGACGCGGGCGGTGCCGGGTAGGGGGCGGCGGCGAGGGGATCCGAGAGCCCGGGGAAGGGAGGCAGGGAGGGGCGCCGGCGGGCCTGGCGTCGGCTACTCTCTGGGTCGGGCCCGAGACCCCTCCCCTGCTTGGTCGGGAGCGCGGCGAACGCGCCTCCGCAGCGGAAAGCGGAGACCTGGGCTCCCTTTCTCACCCGGTCTCTTTTCTTTTCAGTCAGCGAAAAATAAACACCAGGGAAGGTAAAACAATAGCCGGGCCACCTGGGACGCGGCGCGTGCAGGGTGCCCACGTTTTAGGCGAGGGCCAGAGTGGAACCCGGGAATCCCGGCCGCCACCTTAAAGCCCCTTCCCAATTTGCCCCCGTGGAGGGTGGGGCTATCCGCGTCTGCTGGACTCGGCGAGAGGCAAAGGGAATTCCCAGGAGTGAAGCATTTGGTGAAAGTATTCCAGGAACAATCGGGCTTCCCATAGCTGTCCTACTCTGAGCAGGGAAACCGAGGCGCAGGGATATGTAACGACTTCTCAAGGTCAGAAAGCAAAGGTTCACTGCCGTGGTCCAGGTACGGGACCCAGGTGTCTGGACCAGCAGCCTAGTTCGTTTTCCCCCTCGGTTTTAGGGCGGTTGTGTTTGCCTTTGATAAATCTTTGTGTGTTTGTTCTAGAAATCTGCTGGCATTGTGGGACCGCTTCAAGGCTACCGAGTGCCAACTTGCTTCGTGTGTCCTGGGCAAGTCAGGGGCAGGTGGCAGCTCCGCACTTACCACCATGGATGGAGACGGACTTTTTTAATGAAGAAATCCAAACAGTCGGTGCCGGCCAGGTTGATTTGGCTGTGCCGGCCAGGTTGATTTGGCTGTCAGAGGTTTTAACAAAATCTGCCCTGTTCCCTTTGGGTAATCCGAGTGAGGAAGATTACAAACACCTTCACTGGAAAGCCAAGGACGTTTCTGTATAATCAGGGGATGAAAGGATTCTCACAGACTCTTTTTTTTTCCCCTTTTCCTTGAGGATTAATCCCTTACATATTTACAATTTCAGTGGAAATGCAAGGCGCGCAATGTGGCAGAAGCCTAGAGTGCCTTCAGCATTGATGTGGACCCTCCATTTAGCATAAGGACGTTAAAACACATGGCACCCTCAGCTCCCTCCTGCTGATCTCTGCCTTTTAACCTGCTCTCCTTTTCTGAGTAAAATTCTATATCCAAAGTCTTCCTCTGGAGCTATAAGTGGATTGCCAGAAATGAGAGATTAAGTGCTAGAAGAGGAAGCGCCCTGTGTTGTGTCTCCTCGCGGCTGCTGACATGAAGTGCTTTTTCCCAGTGCTGAGCTGTCTGGCGGTGCTGGGTAAGTGGATCAGCTTATCAGTGCGATCAATGTGAAAGTTTAACCTGCAGTTAGTTCCTGTAATTCGTTGTGGTTCTTTCCCATCAACACTAGGCTTTGGGAGACATCAGGAAGCAGCCGGTGTGTATGTCACAGGTTGGAAGAGAGTACCCAAGGGTCCATTTCTGATCTAAGAGGAATGGTGCAGTGTTGCTTGCTGTCTTTAAGAAGGAACATTTGCTGTTAAAGTGTCTGGTGCCGTGGGGTAAAGTTCTCCATCTGCAAGTCTTTGGTTTAGGGACCCCATGTGGGTTGTGGGCTAGTCTTACAGTATTACAAGTATTACATCACTTCTGTGTTGGTCCACATTAATTCCTAATAGAAAGTGGCAACGTTATTCCTGCTATGCTGAGAAAGTTGGTTTGGTGATTATGATGGTGACTTTTTTGAGAGGGAAGTGGGAATGGATGGAATAGGAGGTTGAAGGAATGTTTTGCCCTGCTAAATGGCCTGCAGACTAAGAATGTTGAGGGTACTAGTCACGCCTTCTCTCTCTCTCTCTCACTCACACACACACATACGTACACACACACACACACAAACTGAGAGAGAACATATTCTGGAAAGAAGTGAGACTGCCTGCTAGGAAATTTTAGGTTTGTGTTTTATGCCCCCGCAGAAGGTCAGAATGCTTGGAGCAGGAAGAGGAAACTTTGGCCCCAAGAGGTAAGTAAAACCTGATTCTTTCTCTTAAGGATTCCCTCCCTGTCAAAGAGGCTCCCTTCTGCTCAACACTGTCATTCTAAGATTCCAAAACTACGTTTTGTGTCACTGAGTGCCATCTTAATTGTGTCTTAGAACACATCTCAGTTCTAGGATAAACTCCTTAGCTAGAATGAGATGAATTCTATTTTCTGTCTCCCCAGACCTCATTCATGAACACACCCAGTATGACTTGGTCCTTAGAATTCAGAAGGTGTCATCACTGCTGCCAGTGGTTTTGCATCTCCAAATCTAGGTGTCTTGCACTTTTGGAGTTCATTTGTGATTTGTTGGCAGGTTGCTTTTATGCATTACCTATATTCTTGCAAGAGTTAACAGATGTATGGAAAGAGAATGGACTTTGGAGGTAGAGGACCTAGGTTCAAATCTCAACCATACTATGATTGACATCTGAGTCGCAGTTAAATGCGATGATACCTCCAAGGACTGTTGTAATAAGGGGTATAAGGTGTTTTATACACCTTATATCCGACTGCCTCAAATAATGTCTGAAACACAGTAGATTGGTTAATTCAGTGGTTCTCAAACTCAGGTACACATTGGAATTATTAGGAGAGCTTTTAAAAATTCTGATTTCTGAGCAACAGCCCTAGGCCAATTATAGCCTCTGGGGTGAGGAACCTAGGGATCAGTCTGTTAGGTTTCTCTGGTAATTCCAAAGTATAGTTGAGTTTGAGAGTCAGTGTGAGTTCATTAATGCCAGCCCCTCTCCCATATACACACCAGTCTGGCGCTAAATGTATTTGGTCTTCTGCCCAGGTGTGGGTGGGATACATGTCCCTTGTATGCTTAGTCAGAGTCAAGAAGACAGGTAACCCTCCATTTGCCAGTCCCTAACTACTGTATTGATATTTGTTGTACTGTGTTTTTGTTTTACTCACGTAGTGGCTGGGTTTAAATCAGTCATAGTGAATCATGTGTGACAAGAGGATACAAACAAGGAAAGCCTTCAGGGGATTTGGATATGGGTGGGGTGTGTGGCTAAGGAGGGAAAGAGTAGAAGAGTGGGGCTGAGGGCAGGACAAGGAACCGCCAGTAGGAAGGCAAGGAATTGTGACATTTGTGCCTTTTGTTTCTTCTGGCTGCTCAAGAAACAACAAGGCTAGTTGCTGATCATCCTGCTCTTTGTCCTCTGGGCCACTCTAGGGAGAAGGGTTCAGGTCCTGGTACCAGGTGCTGTCACCTTCTCCCTACCCCTTGTGTACACAGGTGCTGTGGAGGTAAAAGTGTCAAGGTGGCCTTAAAGGGAAACCGGCAGAAGTCCAGACATGGGTGAAAGGAAGATGTGGGATTATGGATGTTCTTATTAATCTCTACCTGATTTGGGGTCCCACTTGTGGAACCTCATTTTTTCTCATCACCTGATGGCTCCCAGGATGGGGAGGGGGTTGGAGAGCTTGCAGCTCTTTTCTTAACCTTGAAGAAGCAGAAGTGTTTGGGGAGGGAAGAACACCCATGTTGAGGTCTTCTTTCCTGCTTGCAGTCTGGTGCACCAACATTCTTGCTGTGTAATGGGAATTAATGTGTGATGTGAATTACATTAGCAAAGAATCCCACAGTTTTATGTCCATGTGGGTCACACACCTCAAATATAATTTTGTTTGTAAAAAGTAATACGAGGCTAAGTGCTCTACAAAGTGAGTGATACAGGTGCTGGCCTCTGGAGCTGACAGTTTGAGTTAGAAAACCCTGTGAAAGTTTGTGATGGGGTATGCAGGGTAAGTTTCTGAGACACTTGCAAGTCTTCTGGCATCATTAAAAACAAACAAACTCACTGCTATCGAGGTGATTCTGACTCAGAGCGACCCCCTTCGGGTTTCCAAGGCAGTAGATCTTTACAGAAGTAGATTTCCCAATCTTCCTTCTGCAGAGTGGGCTGGTGAGTTTGAACCATCAACCTTCTGGTTACCAGTCTAATGCCTTAGACACTACACCACCAGAGCTCCTTTCTGGCATCTTTAGAGCTGTGCTTTTCTCCCCTCTTCCTTTGCTACTGTCAAGGATTTGTATCAGGTTTCTTTTTCTGCCTGTCTGGATACTGATCCTATTCATGTCTCAGTCCTTCTGAATCTACATGAGTTTCTATCTGCCCTTTTGACCGATGTGTCTTATTTCCTTGTGTTGTAGCCCAGGTGCCTCACCCACCCCAGGACCCACTGACTACCTCAGCAACCCTGTTCTGCTTTCAGAGCTATCCTACGCTGGGCCTGGTTGAGCCATAGAGATAGTGAAGTTTCCACTACTAGAATGTGATGGAATCAGAAGGGCAGAGAAAGAAGAGGGGCACGAGTGAATGGAGAATGAGTATAAAAAAAGAGAGTGAGGAGAGAGGGAAAGAGTGGTTGTGACTGTGCCTGGGAGAAGCTTGTGTGAGTGGCAATGACATGGGAAAATTACAACAATCTGGGAGAAATAGAATAGCATTTGTGTCCTCAAGAACCAAACCAAAAGCAAACACACTGTCATCAAGTTGATTCTGACTCATAGCAACCCTATAGCATAGAGGTGAACTGCCCCTTAAGGTTCCCAAGGCTGTAAATCTTTGTGGAAGCAGACTACTTCATCTTTCTCCTGCTAAGTGGCAAGTGGGTTTGAACTGCTGACCTTCTAGTTAGGAGCCCTGTGCTTTAATCACAGCACCACCAGATCTCTTCTGTCTTTAAGAACCAAAAAAAAAAAACACTGCCATCGAGTCGGATCCAACTCATAACGACCCGTCTTTGGGTTTCTGAGGTGATATCGCTACGGAAGTAGATTGCCCAACCTTCTTTCCAAGGAGTGGCTGGTGGGTTTGAACCTCTAGCATTCTGGTTAGCAGTCAAATGCCTTAGGCACTCAAGAAAGACAAATATAAGCTTTAGACACTTTAGCAAGTTTCAATTTTGCGTGGTCCGTGAAGAGTTACGCCTCCCAGACCAGTGCTGATGTTGCAAGCAGCATAAAGTAGCCTTAAAAGTGTCAGCAGTGAAAGATGTAGGAGATTGGGACATCTCTGGATCAGCAGAGGAGAGTCTGTAGATAGCTAAAGATCATTTGCGATCCCTATGTGGAGTGGAGAGAAGTTCATTTGTAGAGTTGAGGAAACCTCTTATTTGACTAGGATAGGTCTGAGGAAGAAATGGTCACTTCACAGCTAGTTAGGGAAAGCTTCTGAGGGGGACATGCTTCTAAAAGAGATTTAAAGCAGCTTTGATGTGCTGATGGGAGAGAGCTCAGAGGCAGGACTAGCTAGGGTGATCAAAGGCAGAATAGAGGAAAAGGCAGAGGAGAGAAGTAAAGTGGTTTGGGCAGTAGTGAGAAGTGCTCCGAAGGAAGATGATGAGGCTCATGATTCAAAGATGCACAGACATCCTCTTGCGAACAGTTGACCCAGAGGTAGTGTACTTCCCTTTGCTGGGGACCATTTGACAAGGGAACTGGAGAAGGAAAATCTTGCCAGGAGGACTAAACCAGCTAGGATGCCTTTCCATTCACATCATTGCACCACTTCTGGGCACTCAGGACAGTCTTAAGATGTCTCAATCTCCTACATTTTTTATTGCAGCAAGGGAAGAGTAACAGTAGAAATACCAGTTCTGTGACCCTTCCTGTAAACCAAGTCCTATTTCCTTTAGTCCTCAAAACAACTCTGCAAAGTAGATACTTAAATTATCCCTTTTTTATAGATGGGGAAATTGAGGTCCAGAGAAGTTAAGTAACTTGCCTAAGGTAGATTACTGTACCAGCTTGATACTGTGGTCCAAGGAGGCAGAGACCCACATTTCTCCTGTCTTGTTCCATGTGCATGTCTTCCATTCCCAAGGTCATCTCATGGTTCAAGATGGCTGTTCTAGCACCAGCCATCTGGAAGGAGGGAAAGAGGTGGCCAAGGGCAGGCTCTCTTAATGTAAGGCCACTTCTTGTAAGCTGTACACATCACTTCTGCTTACATCCTCATTGGCTGCAACTTGGTCACATGACCATACTTAGCTACAGGGGAGCCTGAGAAATGTTACTCTTATTCTGGTGGCCATGTGACCATGTAAATGCTGGGGCTTTTATTATAGGGGACAAGAGAACAGACTTTAGGGGAAAAACAACTGGTTTCTGCCATAGTTATGAAGTTAGTCAGTGTCAGAGCAGGGTTTGGAAACCAGGGCCATTTGGTTCCAAATCTTGTGTTGCTTCATGTAACAAGCTGCCTGCTTTGTGAGTATGAGGCCCAGCCCCTGGCCTCTAAGAAACCTTGATGGGAAGGT